AATTTTGAAATTCTAATCTCAATTATTAATTTGTCAATTTTGAACTCTAAAATTTTTAAATTTTACTAATTACATAATTCTTCTTGGTAGAGCTACATTTATTCAAATGTTATCAGTGAAAGAGCTTAATTGATCATAAATGTTATAGGGATGAGCATTTACTTAATTATATTAATAATAAAATAATAATAATAAAGTAATCTATATTAATGTTGTAGGTAATTGTAATGTAATTAAAATAAAAAATGAATTAATTATATTAGTGTTATGAAAACTACAAAAAAAAAATTACCTCTTTATTTTGTAAATATCTTATTTTAAATTATTATTTACTTATTAATAAAATAAATATTCAACAAATAAGTAAATTAAAAATATTATTGATATGATAATATATTACTATTAAATCTATAATTAAGTAAATTTTAACTAATTAAATTTTATTTAAATAATACATCATATATATAATTTGAGTTATTATCAAGCTTACTATCGAGTATTTAACTAATGAGTTTGTTCGTGAAAACAAACAAGATCAAGTATGTTCATGTTCAATTTATTTAAGCTTCGCGCTTCTAAAAATTATTCAAATTTGTTTATTTATTAATTTGAACGAACATTATCGAGTTTTAATCGAATCGAGATCAAGTTGTTCATTGACAGCATTAGTTCATTTACAACTCTTAAGTATATGCTCAACTCGAGTATTTGTAATCGAATCATGAATGATGGAATTTAGTAACTTCATTGATCAATGAATGGATTTTTCTTAGGCTATAGGAAAACTAAATTTTAGTGAATATTAGGTATTTTAGTTGAAATTTTTTTATTTAAAAAAAAAAAAGAAAATGGGAGCCTTCTATGATATGGTCCGCTAAGAATGTGGGGAAGAAATTTAAAATAATATCAAATCTTAATTCATATAAACTCTTCGAAAAGTTAAGTCAAAAGAGAGATATGTCAAGTTTTCTTCCTTGTAACTAACACACAAAGGGTGTGTTTGAGGCAGCAATGCGATGTTGCATCACAATTTTTTCTTTTTTGACAAAATTATGTTTTATCCGTGTTTAAAAACCTGCAGCTAAAAGCTGTGCTTTGCCATCAGACCTAGCTACCTGTGGTGGCTACTAAAAAGCTACAATTTGACTTTTTCAAAAATAAGTTTTTTTGAATAGACATCACAATTTTTTAAATAGTTTTTTTCTTCTTCAATAATTTTCAAATTACTTCTTCAAATAGCTATAATTACTCTAAAATAAGAGAAAATTTTACATACAGAGTCCGAACACATCTTTGAGTTCGGAAAAATCTCTCACATTTCAACTCATAAATTTATAATTTTTAAAAAAAAGTATTCACTGAAATACACTTAACTGTGATGTTATTGGAACTTTCAGACTCTATGTAAATTTTTTTTCCTAAAACAGACCTAAAAATCTATCCTTATTCCTATTCCTAGCTCCTACTCGCACTCCGAACCAAATATGGTTCCCGACCCTAAGCGGCAGATTGGCTGGCGACAGATCCCGGCATGACGGGAGCATTAGCTTGTTGTGTCCATTTGAACGCAGTCGGTCATTTGCAAGGTCAATACAGTCTTTTGCTATCGTCTCCCGTCCTAAAAGGTTGCCTTTTGATTTTGAACAATAATTCTTCTTGGCAGGGCTACATTAATTGAAATGTTATAAGTGAAAGAATTGAGTTGATCATAAATGTTATAGGGATGATCATTTACTTAATTATATTAATAATAAAATATTAACAATAAAGTAATCTATATTAATGTTGTAGGTAATTACAGTGTAATTATAATAAAAAATGAATTAATAATATTAGTGTTATGAAAACTCTAAAAAAACATTACCACTCTTTATTTTGTAAATATCTTATTTTAAATTATTATTTACATATTAATAAAATTAATATTCAACTAATAATTAAATAAATTTTAACTAATTAAATTTTATTTAAATAATATATTATATATATAATTTTAGTTATTATCAAGCTTAATATCGAGTATTTAACAAGTTATTTGTTAAACGACTAATGAGTTTGTTCGTGAAAATAAATAGGATTGAGTATGTTCATGTTCAGTTTATTTAAGCTTCGAGCTTTTAAAAATTATTAAAACTTGTTTATTTATTAATTTGAACGAACATGATTGAGATTTAAGTGAATTGAGATCAAGTTGTTCATTGAGAGCATTGGTTCATTTACAACTGTTAAGTATATGCTCAACTCGAGTATTTGTAATCAAATCATGATTGATCGAATTTTGTAACTTAATTGATCAATGAATGCATTTTTTTTAGGCTATAGGAAAACTAAATTTTAGTGAATATTAGGTATTTTAGTTGGAATTTTTTTTATTTAAAAAAAAAAATAAAATGGGAGCCTTCAGTGATATGGTCAGCTAAGAATGTGGGCAAGAAATTTAAAATAATATCAAATCCTAATACATATAAACTCTTCGAAAAGTTAAGTCAAAAGAGAGATGTTAAGTTTTCTTCCTTGTAACTAACGCATAAAGGGTGTGTTTGAGGCAGCAATGCGATGTTGCATCACAGTTTTTTTTTATTTTGACAAAGTTGTGTTTTATCTGTGTTTTTAAAAACCTGTAGCTAAAAGCTATGTTTTGCCACCAGACCTAGCTACCCGTGGTGGCTACTAGAATGCTACAATCTGACTTTTTCAAAAATAATTTTTTTTTTAATAGACATCACAATTTTTTGAATAGTTTTTTTCTTCTTCAATAACTTCCTAATTGCTTCTTCAAATAGCTATAATTACTCTAAAATAGGAGAAAATTTTACATACAGAGTCCGAACAAAGCTTTGAGTTCGGAATAAGCCGTGTACAAAATTTTAAAAAATCTCTCACATTTCAACTCATGAATTTATAATTTTTTAAAAAAAGTATTCACTGAAATACACTTAACTGTGATGTTATTGGAACTTTCAGACTCTATATGTAAATTTTTTTTCCTAAACCAGACCTAAAAATCTATCCTTATTCCTATTCCTAGCTCCTACTCGCACTCCGAACCAAATATGGTTCCCTACCCTAAGCGGCGAAAAATTATTTCATACGGATCAGACACCGCACTCAAGCTACCGCACGCAGCTTGCGTGCGGTGTCCGATCCGGAGATCCCCTGATCTACGGTCCCGATATATTTCGGTGGGCCCTACCTAATTTTTTTTTTTTTAATAAAAAAATGAAAATAATTCTGACCGTAGATCACCGTGATCTACGGCCAGGATCGGACACTGCATGCAGAGATGCATGCGATGTCCGCACAGGTACATGCGGGGTCCGCAAGCAATAATTCCTCTTAAACGGCAGATTGGCTGGCGACAGATTGGCTGGCGACAGATCCCGGCATGACGGGAGCATTAGCTTGTTGTGTGTCCATTTGAACGAAGTCGCTCATTGGCAAGGTCAATACAGTCCTTTGCTATCGTCTCCCGTCCTAAAAGGTTGCCTTTTCGAGGGTTTCAGGCTAACTGGAGGAAGCCGGCTGCTCAATAAGGTAAGGTGCTTCCGAACGGCTACTAAAGGAGGAAGGCAGAGAGGGAGGGCGATGGAGGAGAGGCAGCGAACGCTTAGGGCGGCGGCGGAGAGGTTTGTGGAGACTAAAATGGCTGGCCGCGACGCTTCACACGATGCGGCCCACGCTTTCAGAGTTCGCGACCTCGCACTCTCGCTCGCCATGGAGGAGGGATTGGAAAGTCATTGTTTGGAAATAGTAAGCACTTTCTTTTACTCTTATAAATTAGATTGTAATTGGCTTTCTTTATTAGGTTTATCATCCAGTTTTTTCTACATGGGATCTTTAATCTTTAGTTTTTTTTATATCAGATTCATAACCTTCGAATAAGCGATAGATTTTGATTCTTATAATATGTTGCGTTTTCTAGGTGGAGCTTGCCGCTCTCCTCCATGATATAGGTAAACTATCTATCCTATTGCCTTATAATTTGAAGGTTTTCATTTATGGATTTAAATTTTTTTCTTGGGGTGATTTTTTTTATTCTTTGCAGGAGATTACAAGTATAACAAGTAAGTTTGCTTGTTCTTTGAGCCTACTATTTATTATTTCTTACATTACAATGAAATTATTTTTCTGTTTTAGTTCCATTTATTTGTTTCGCATTCAAGTATATTTTTTAGTCCTCCTTGAGATTTATTTGCCTGGTAACTTCATACTATTTATTTTCCGTGTTATGTTGATTATTTGTTTTCACGCTTCATGTTTGTGTGCAGGGACTTTGTTGAGGACACGATGATAGTGGAGAATTTCCTTGAAGAGGAGGGAGTGGAAGAGAGCAGAAGGAAGAAGATACTGGACATCATAAAAAGAATGGGTAATTTTTACTTTATTTTTATGCTTGTCAAGTTGTTCTTGTTGAGTTAGAGGACCTTTGGTTGTTTTGGAATATTGAAGATAGGCTTGAGTGTTATGTTTCTTTGTGTTAATTCTCTTAAGTTGTTTGTTTTTTTTGGCTTTTTTGTTTGTGTGCTAATTCAAACTTATAAATACCTCATGCAAATCAGTTTTATAAATTGAAATTCAAACTTTTTAGTACAAAACAATTCCGAACAAAAATGTGGCACAATTTTTGTGAAGATAAAACACTTGGGAATCAAGCTGAGTCTTATATTGTAATGAATGACTGTCATCAATCAATTAACCTGAACTAATGGATAGTGGTCTTTTTTTAGTATATTTGAACCCAACATTTATTTTTTTAATGTCTTAAGAACATCAGGAACTAAACTATTGTTATCTTTTTAAACAAGGAATTATTTTTTCATTCATACTGTTCTTAATAATCTCTCCCTAAAATAAAGGTCCAGTATATTAGCTGTCACCCATTGAATTGAAAGTTTTAAAATAGCATTAAGTTTCATGCACTAAGAGCTCACCATATCACATGAAGCCCGTGTGGCAATCACTTCCTCTTCTTTCTTGAAATTGGCAGAAGTTGCCTGGGAGCTTAACTGTTATTTCTTTTACAATATTTGATTGGTTTTTATTATCATATGGATGTTAATCGTCTCCTTTTCACATGAGCCATGTACATTTGCTATCGCTATCCTAAAGCAAAGGTTTTTCAATACTTTCAAGTTTCATACACCATGAAATCTTACAGCTATTAAGTTTCTGCAATTTGATAAATCAAATCTTGTTGAATGATTTGCTGATATTAATCTCACGATGATTATCAAAACCATATTAATTTTGTTTTTGTTCTTGCTTTATAATACAAATTCATTAATGAGCTTTGTAGGAGAGTTGAGTTGCGGGAAAATTTCATAGAATTTATTAATAACATTGCTTTTAAGAAAACTTGAGTTCTAAAACTTCATCTATCTTTTAAAATCTAAAAATATGTACTTTTGTATGATTAACTTTTAAGTGATATGGGTTATTTTTCTTAAAGATGTCATATCTTCATACAAACAAGTCATGTTTGTGTAGTTTGTTTGCTTTTAACTTCTCATCTTTCCTCTCAGAATTAGTTATAAGTTTTTATTGATACGAGTATTTTAACACTTAGATTGTTTGTTTCATTTCTTATTCATCATTTGTATGAATTGAATGAGCTGTTTGACTTGCATAAACTTATTCACCAGAATTGACTCTTAATTAAGAACATTTTAAGTTAATTGTTTGTTGTTTGTAAACAAGAGACAGAGGATTTAAAATTGGCAATAAGATAATGTTATATTTGTATATAAAAAAAAAAATTCCTACTGGACCCTTTAAGCGATTATTTTCAAGAAAGACGAAGCCACCTAAATTCATGAAACATATGGGGACAAGTACTTACAAATTGGAAATTCTGGAAAGTTTTGACATTATTTAAGACTTCAATGTGTTTGGTTTTGTTTTATTTCATGAACTTGCAACTTATGCCTTGGATTTTTTTCTTATTTCATTTCTTTCTTATGAACTCACACATGACTCCTTGGCATAGAATTCTATATTCTTATTGTTCTTAAAGCTATGTTGGATGCTGAAACTGTGTTCTCTATTGATAGTGAATTCTATAGATATCTTTTGCATACTACTGCCAAATAGTCACTCTGGACTAGTTAAATATACTGTATTTTTTTTGGTTAGTCAACTCAGCCCTTAAATCTCTTTCATAAATGGAATACTCATAAAATCAAATTAGTTTTTGATAACGAGATTTATCTAGCCCATTTTTTCATTGTTTGGTGCATGCTCACATAATTTTACTTTATCATTTGTTAGTGTAATTTATCTATAAGCACTACAAGATAGAAAATCCTCACATATGCTCACATAATATTACTTTATCATTTGTAAGTGTATTTTATCTATAACCACTACAAGATAGAAAATCCTCTCTATTTGTAATTACAAGTATCAAGTTTGACATTCTCTGTCTTTGAGATTCAATAAAAAATTTTTTTTACGAAATTTATTTATTATCTCCCATAACTTTTCATACATCTCATTCGGAGCCTCATATGAACTTCAATGCAATTTAATGCATTTTTGGAAGATCTGAATTTATTTTTTAGGCCAATCTATGGCATGTATCATGATTTTGCTCATAAGACTCTGAAAAGATTTTTTCTCGAAACACTCACAGTTGCATTTCTTAAAATAAACTTAATGATTTGTTCATAACAGTTGTGTTTGAAATTTTGATTAGCTATAAGGTATACTGGTATCGGGATATATGTTGTAATATTTAATAAAATTGTATTTGCCTTGCAGGCTTCAAAAATGAATTACAAAAAACCTGCGTAGATTCTTCACTTGAATTTGGTGTTGTGCAAGATGCTGATCGTTTGGATGCTATAGGTGCCATTGGTGAATATCATTAACCTTTACAAATATCATGCCGGTCTTGAAGAAATTCCTTTGCTGTAGTTTCTTAGTGCAGCTTTTTTATGTTTTTTTAAAAATCGATTGATATTAAATATTACTGTCATTATAAAAGTATTTTCCCTTTACTTAGTTTTGTTACTCTATATCTGCTAAAATTTTTTCGAACCTTTTGTTTTCTTCATGTGCTTTGCCATGATGCGAAAAAGCTTATTTCTATTCTTTTAATGCTGGCTTATAGAATCATCTCTTTTTTTATTAGCAACTTGATATTTATCTTACCATCACATTATTTTCACTTTTACCATCTCATACATAGGTGAGGTGTGAGTTTCTAGTCTATGTAATTTGCAAATTCTTAATATATTCTGCAAATTTACTGATTTTTGCTGTCTGGATATTGAATATATTTTTTCTCTGTAGAACCTTTGCGTTATTTATTTTATTTTTTGTGTTTTTCAATCGTAGTTGCCAAAGTAAGCACTACAACATTTAGGCAAGCTAACTTTTATTCAAAATTTGGCATGTTAGCATTTTCCTGCCATCACATGAATCAACAACACCAATGCCGTCACATTAATGCTTTTTTCTTGGACATTATGCACTTTGTTGGCTCTCGCTGTTTTTATACCTCGTGTTCTTCTACACTTCAGTAGTATATTGTAGTGTTCAAGTCTGCAATATTTGTTTTCTTGATGCATAACTGGAATTGGAGAGCTGTTGAGTATTTTATAGAGTTTTTATGGCCAACCACTCACCATGTTTTTAATGTTATTTGATCAATAAAATAGAACTAACTATTGCTTTATCGACTCAGTTTTATGTTGGAAGAATTTTTTTTTCCTTCATCTCCAATTTCCATTCTGTTCAAAACTTGTTGTTGTCTTAGGTTCTCTTTTATCTAGTAATGATTTACTGAAGGAGGACAATGCTGTTAAACAGTCCAATGTTTCTCTGCAAGAATAATTCATGATACATTCTATCCGAATCCTTTTATTTTTCTGCAGAATATATTTCATTTTTTTCGTTGTAATTTCAGGAATTGCTCGATGCTTTACTTATGGCGGAAGCACTAATCAGATATTACATGATCCTGAGATATCCCCTCGGCAGAATTTATCAAAGGAAAAATATATGAACAGAGCTGAGAAGTCGACATCAATCAATCATTTTCATGAGAAGCTTTTTAAATTGAAGAATATTATGAAGACTGAGGTTTGTGAGCATTATTTCTAATTGCTTCACATTTTCATATTTTTTGCAGTTATTTTTTTCTTACTAATTTCATAAATAAGGCATGTGGATGCTTGCATTAGAGTATAGCAATTGATACACTTTGGTTTCGTAAAAAAATATTGCTCCTAAATATTGATCTGTGTGCAGCTGGAAATGATTAATAAAAAATAATAAATATTAGGAAAGGGGAATACGTTTTAGGATTGAAAGCTATTGGGTTTCTTGCTTATGAGTGATGATATGAATGCTAAAAAATTCTTTTAGATATCTCCCCCAACTTATCAAGCAGGTGATTTGGGATCCTAGAAAAAAAAGGATAATCATAATTCTTTTTTGGATGCAAAAACTAATGTTTTATTCAAGATAAATAGAAAATATAAATTAAAAGGATGGAGTAATATTTCCTCAACTTAAATTCCCACTCTACCTCCATGCTCGCTCTCAAGTTCTTATAGCACAATCTCTTCTGCCAAAACTCTTTTAAAAACACTTGAGAATTCTTTTTCTCATAACCTGCCTAGGAGATTCCCGTTTTATAAAAGGAGAATGTCAGTTATAAATAGAGGAAGATTTATTCCGGGAAATCAGTGATTTTAAACTTGTGTTAATTTACTAAATGCGGTGTAAACTAGTACAAATGGGGCCTAGACTAGCACTTGAGCTGCTCGACGATAAAGCCATTCAATAGGGAATTTTGTGTCTCTTGATGGAGAAGCTTTCCCAATAACTTTTGAAATTCCCTCAACCCATACTAATTCTTCTCGGCTTTGTAAATTCCTCTCGACATCATCACAATCCTCTCTTGAATCTTAAGCATTGGCACGTGTCTATGGCTCTTTTGTCCCTTGGCCAGCATATCCATAGGTTGGCATTCTTTACTACTATTGACAGTTTTATTGATATTGCCTTTAGTGAGGTGATATTGTTGTGCCCTTCTACAAATTAGCATCCCGATCACATAAGTTTGGGTTTTCAAGGATAATTTGATATACATGGCTTTGCACATCATCTTGTTTATGTTTTCTTGGGTAATACTGAAGAAAATGCGACACTTCACTAGCTTGTCCAAATCAGATCACTTCTATGAGTAATTCAAAATCTGTTTGCTAGTATAGGGGAGTTAGTGAGGATATATATCGAGTCACTTGTTGAGATCAAATTCTTCAAACTTCTTTGTGTCAAATGTGGCGTTTTAAATTTCTGGCTTGACTAGGATTTGCAAGGTGAACAACTTTTTTGTGTTCATTAGGGTTTGGTGTTGAAATCAAGTTTTGACCTTCAACATTGTCATTAAAGCTCAAATCTAGTTAATTTATAAGCTAATGTTTGTTTATGAGTCAATTACAATAGTTGCATCTATCTCTTTGAAGTCCTTCTTTAACTTGGAAGTGTTCAGGATGACGCATTTTATCGTCTCTCTTTTATGTCCTATATCTTTCACAATAAAAATTATTCTTTGAAAAAGATATTTGAGTATCATCATTAGTACATCTCTTTTGGTTTCCTTTTTTATCACTTGCCCTCAACTCTCCTTCATCTTTAATGTTGGAAATCTTACTGTCACGGTGTTTCTCTCATCCAATGGCCATACAAGCATACTTGCCCAACTAATGTGTTTGATGGGGAAAGGCAAAGTTCTCATTGGAAATGATATAAAATAGCCCAATGGTATTTTTTGTTATTATTGAGACATCCTCTAGCGGCACTTCAAGTATTAGATCTTGTGTCAATATAATGTATTCTTGCATTGTTTGGTTTTGAAGCTTTCACAATCCATGTGATTTCCTTTATTTTTTTCACTACCCCAGTAGGTGGAATTCTTAATGGCAATACCTTTTGAATAGTGTGCTCATGCATGAGATTTGCATTTCACCTTAGCAAAATATGCTTGATATTATTTGAGTTGGATGAATGAGGCTTTTACTTGGGATGAATAGCTATAGAGGCTAGCTGATCCACTTAGCATTCAGTACGTGGCGTCAATGGAATCATCATAGGCAAGGATATTGATTTGAACTTTCACTTTGAATTGTTGGTTTTGCGCCATGAAAGAAGGTTCCTTATCGTAACTGAGGACTTCATTGGAGGGTGATCCTCTTTGTGGTGTAGTGGTGGGTGGACTTTTGGTGGAAGGATAGAGGTGGATATTTTTCATTGGATGAATATGAGGTAAGGAGGCTAATAGAAGTATTTTGGGGTGGAGTCAAGGTAAAGTGGTCATACAATAATGGCCGAGAACTACTTTGTAGATTAAGCTAATGTTGAATGGAGGGGAGTGGAAGGATTAACTGAAGATGTTGGCTAGGCTAGTGTTGAGTGGAGTTTCAGATGGAGTCGAAGGATTAACTGAATATGTAGGCTAGGCTAGAGCTTCTTTAAAATTTGGCGGGATTCTAGGGTTTGTGGGTATGTAGTATGGAAAATGAAGGTGCTTTGAAACTTGGAAGAGGTGTATTATTTTTGGGTACCGGGGGTTCGGCTAACACTGATAACAATTGGTTTTTCTTTGTGTGGGTTGATGGGATTGTGTAGAGGAAGTCTAAAAAACTACAATAGATATAAAAGAAAGTAAAAGAACAAATAAATTAATAGAATAGCTTTATATTTTGAGATGAACCTACTTCACTAAAGGAAAAGAGGAAAATCATCAATTCCTAACCATAAGCGATTAGCCACTAAGCTATGTCAGAGTGAGGGTAAGTTCCTTTTCAATTTAGAACACCATCAACTACTTGTGTTGTTTTCTGACATATGAAGTCATTACATGAGATAAACCCAAAAAATTAAAATAAAGAGACCAATACAGGCCAATTGGATCCAAGCCTAGAGAGGGAGGGGAGGGTTGGGGAGGTGGGGCCCCTGAAATTTGTATTTGTATGAACCACTTATGATTTGAAGATACTGGAATAAATTGATGCATTAACCTTGGGATTGAGCGTTTGAACAGGCAGAAATGTCTCTTGATTTGAGTGTAGCCTGCCTTGCCCTATTGACTCTTGATTTGTTTGATTATGTTCACTAGCTTGTATGTTTACTTTTGTATGGTAACATACTCCTAATTCTCAAGTACAATATTTCAGTCACCAAAATTACATTAATAAATCAGACTTGTAGTCATGAAAATACATAAATACAAAATTATTATAAATATTCCAAATAATGTGAGTTCTCCCACGGCACTTTGTTTACTGTTTCTTCATTCATCACTAAATTTTTTTTGGCCAGCCTTTATCATTATGACTTTCTTTTGTTAAAGGAGCGCCACTTAGGTAGCAAGTGATTTGAAGTTTCTCCTTGTTATGTTTTGACATTAAGGTGTTATTTCATCTTCTTCTTGAGTGATTTTAGGCTAGGAGTGATACTCCAATTTTTTTTAGCTACTTGCCATCTTAGGAATAGGAGTGATTCTCCTTATGCCAGAATCTATAGGGCTTTGACGGAAACTTGATTTGAAACACCCACAAGACCTAATAAGATACCCCACATGTACTTAAGCATACATTTCAGAGGCTAAGGAATAGGAGTTAATTTGGACTCTTATTTGAATGCGAAAAATTAATGTTTTTTATGTGAATGCAACTCAATTTTTGAGTGGTATGATCCTCTTTCTTGAACTCCTCTCGCTAGTCTTTATCTCAAGTCCTTGCAGCAAGAATTCTCATGTCAGAACTCTTTCCTAAACTCTCGAAAGACCTCTTTTTTCCATCATCTTAGCTTAATTATGGGATCTCCTTTGCATAGAATGAAAACATTGGTTACAAAAATCAGGAAAGTTATTATAGAAAATCAGGGATTTGAGCTTCAGTTACTCAAATGCGCCACCGACTTGAACAATTCGGCCTAGTTTGGCACTCAAGCTACTCAGCAACAATCCAGTCAGAAGGGAATTCCATGGCCCCTGACTAAGAAGCCTTCCTGAGAACTTTTTAACTCCTGTTGTCATTACATGAGTGTCTTTTGGCGTTATGGATTCTTCTTAGTAGCATATCAGCTTCATTCTGGTTTTAATTTACCTTAAAATTCAATCAGATCTAAGAATTTCTCTTAACTGTGGCCTTTTGTACTATATGTTGCATTTATACTTCTGTATTCATCCCATGTTTGTGAAGTATGTTATTAATTTATTACTTATCGTTTAGGCTTCATTTTGTTCCGCTGTTGTTGCTTGAGAATTCAACTGAAAAGCTGCTGTTGGAAAAATTTTGGTGAAAATTTGTTGCTGAAAAACTGCTATTTTCCATTTGGTAGATTTTCAGTTAATCTGCTGTTATGTAAAGGGTTTGACAACACAGAAATAAAAGCATGAAAAAAACAAATAATGAAATGATGACCTGAGGTGGTGGGTTTTATGATAACACTGATGGTTGTGGTAGTTGCTGACTGTGGTTGTTTCTAATCCGAAATACCTAAAAGTTATTAAATATAACTTGATTTATTAAAAAATAATGAACCAAGTTAAAAATACATTGAACAAACATATTTTTAAAATACAAAAAATAAAAAAATAAAATACAAAATTGATGTTAAACAGCCCTAAGATTTTGGGGCAGTCTTCTTTATAGTAATTCCAATATATGAAAAAGCATGTTGATATTTCTGGAAATGGATTTTTCTTGTGAAACTCCAAGGATAGTAGCCACATTGCTTGAGATTGCCTCCTAGAGTTATTGAATTTATTTCAGCACAAAGTTGCTTGTGCACTTGTATGCTTAGTGCTTGCGTGGGTGGTTGTAGTTATCTGTAGTTATAATAATATCCATTAGGAGAATAAAGTCTTATGCTCAAATATTTCATACAATTCATTCACATATTTAAGTATTTAAAGTTTAAAGTAGATTTCAACTAATTACATATGACATTGCAAATCAAATAAAGCAGATAATATATTTTAAAATTTAATCATTTAAAAATGTGTGGTTGATACAAATTGTCTAACATAGGGGCTCTTACCCTTCCAAATCTATAGCAATTGTGGACAGGAGTATTCATCTTTACTGCAAGTTTATTTTTAATTTCCTTGCCATCTAAGATCTTCAAATTCCACGTTGCACCTTTCATTACATGCAAATAATTTGGGGATTGAGTTTCATTAATATTTTCCTAAAGAAGCAAGCATTCTTTTTAATCTTTATCACAAATAAATCTTTTTTTGGACAATAATGTTAGGCTGGGAGGAGGAGAGCTGAGAAGAGGCATAAATTCATGGAGACTTTTATAGAGGAATTCTATGAAGAATGGAGTGGAAGAGCTTGAGTTTTTCTTCTGACCTTTATGATGCATGCGAGGCATTGAGCTCTTCTAACGCACCCATGATTGAGGTAGAGCTTTAATGAAAGTTATTTTTTATTTCAAGGTTCACTTACTATCTGCTGATGAATCTAAAGCTTCAATTTAAAAGAACTTAATGGCTCATGTGTTTCTATGAGTGCCCTATTATGTTTGAAGATTTATTGGTTTATTACTGTAAAAGAATTGAAGTGGTGCACTGTTCGTGTAGGTAAATTCTTGTCTGAGTTAACTTGAGAAGATGGAGCTGAGGACTGAAAGAGAGATTTTTTGGGTCCATGTTAGATGGCTAATTTTACTTCTTTCAAGCAAAACATAAAATTTTTTTAAGAGTTTTGTGGTTGGTAGATGATATTGATATTTGAAGGTGATTCTATAAAATAATAGGTAGGAAAATTTTACTCTCTGAATTTGGATTTTGGATGGTAAAATATTGTTGATATCAATGTGGAGTATAATAAAAATGAGAATGTTAATATGAGCGTGTAAAGAATTAGAAAGGTTAAATTATAAATGATTATATGTCAGAGAAGATTTGTGTGATATTTTTTAAATGTAAAAAATAAACTCAAACTTATGCATGGCATCGCAATTGTTACCATTGCCATTATTGACATATATTCTAAATATTGTTTAAAGGCATTCAAATTGCTCTCATCATTCTAGTTGCATTTTATTTTTATTAGACTTCTATTGTTAGGTTACAATGTCATTCTGTATTTAGAGCTGTGTTTTTTTGCTATTTTTTGCTGGGTTTTACGCTGTGGGGCATTTGATGGGTTGGGTCATGTGAGTTTGAATCATATGAGCTTTTTATGCTGTTGTTTCATTAGAAAAACTGTTTTTCTTATGCTCTCAGGGCTTCCTCGAGGCCTAAAGATGTGAACTTGGCTCACAGCGATAACTTAAAGAAGATGCCTCTCAAATGACCTCAGTTTGGCTTTATTAGAAGCGGCGGCAAGTTTTTCTCCTTATTTCCTGGCTTATTTGAATAGATGTTTTACCCGCATAATTGTACTTATTTAAAAATATAATTCCTTTCAACTAATAATTTGTGTTAAACCATAAACGTTATATAGATTATTCCTTTCCTACTACATGTTTCTAGAGAGTTGGAAGATTTTGGCTAAATTGGATCTTAATCTTAGACATTGGAGCAAACTATGAGTGTAGGTTTTGAGAAACTTTTGGAGCTTAATAGGGTACGGTATAGAGGAACATTAGTGTTGATCTCTATTTTAGTTTGCTTTTGATTGCTTCATTTTACCACCAAAACGTCTTATTGATTTGGATTAGTCTGATATTCTAGAACATAAGCTTTCTGATCTCTTATTGAATGCTTTCTATCAATGCCCCTATTAATGGCTCCTTTGGTAGTATTGCCGCCAACTTCCTAGGAGATGCCTCCTTCATGTCTTGTGCATTCTTAACGTTGGTTGCTCTTTCCTTATGAGTCTACCCCTTGGCCATGTTGCCCTCTATCCGCATTTGGTTATCCTCTTGACTTAATGTAATCCTACTTCTAGTCTGACCGCCACTTTGGCTGACTTCTCCGATCCTTCCTTTGGTTTGCCTATCTTTTCTGACTTTGTCAGCCATTTTTTGTATGATGAAGTACCATATCCACATGATATTGGCTTTTTTACTGGTTGAAATGATGAAACGTGCCAAATACCACTTTTGAGCATCCTCTGCAATATTTCTAACCATTAGCCTCAAGGTGACTATTCTTTTACTGATGTCATCTTTAGCGATGTTATTTCCATTTTATTTTCTCTTTTGTACTTGAGGAATGACGGCCGAGGAAGATACGTTTGTTGCCTTTCACCTTTGGCAACACGATAGTCTCTATTCACCAACGCTTGGCCTTTTTCTCCTGTGTCTTATTACCTCCGCACAAATTTTTTGATGTGTTAGCAAAACCATTGATTCTTTACCCTTGTTTCAGGGTCTGTTTGGGGCAGCTGCAGCTTATCCAGCTTCTGCTGATAAGCAGCTTATCCTGATAATCTGCTGATGAGCAGCTGATCCGGATAAGCTGTCTGGCTGTTTGGTTGACGCTTATGGAAAACAGCTGATTGTGAGAAATTGACCATTTTGCCCCTATTTTTCTAATTGACTTAGACGAGAAAAGTTTAAGTAGATTACAACCAAGAATATATTAATCGAATAAAAAACAAACATTATTCTCTAGCAATTTCGAACACGAATTAATATGAAATAAAATTAATTTTGAATGAGCAAAATATGAGCCAAGCTTGAGCTCGCTCAAGCTCGAGCAATCAACAATGACAAGAAGTTTCTTCAGACAATCTTTATATGAAATTACTTAGCATAGATATTAGGTGGCAGAAGTTGCAATACTAGCAACTGTAGCCACTTAAATTAAAAACGAAAATAAGAACAGGCTATTAACAATAAATAGTGTTGCGCAAAGAAACCCTGCGAACTAGAGCCAAGAAAACAGATCAGAAATAGCAGGAAGTAAAAATCATTCAGAAATAGCAGGAAGTAAAGATCAGAAATAGCAGGAAGCAGAAGATTTCGCTCCGACGGCAAGGAGAAGATCCGGCTTCGAGGAGAACGAGAGGGGGAAGATCCGGTTGCGACGGGAGCTAGGGTAGCAGAT